TAAGGCCTTCTACGAAATGTTGGACTTGGCACAGAAACCCCTTCATGAGAGTACAACGGTTTCTCAGCTGGATGCCATTGGACGTGTTATGGGGTTGAAGGCCGAGTTAAATCTGAGTCGTGAAGGCTTTGATAAGATGTTGGCTGTGTTTGACAGCATGCTACTGGAGAAGCACATTCTGCCGAAGAACTTGCACGAGTCACAGAAACTACTTCGTATGCTTAAGATGCCATATGACAAGATACATGTTTGTCCAAAGGGGTGCGTCTTATTTAGGAAAGATCACAAGGATGCAAAGTACTATCCGAAGTGTAAATCCTCAAGGTACCTGGAGGTAGACTCTAGAGATGGCCAGAAGAGGCAGCTTACGATCCCCGCGAAAGTCCTACGGCACCTTCCGTTTGTGCCGAGGATCCAACGGCATTTCATGACCGAGGAATCCACGAAACAGATGACATGGCATAAAGAAGGTGTACGGTATAAGCCATGGATGATGGTGCATCCGTCCAATGCCGAAGCATGGACGTACTTTAATGACAAACATCCTGACAAAGCTGCTGAGGCTCGTAATGTACGTGTCGCGCTGGCAACAGATGGGTTCAATCCTTATGGACAGTTGTCTGCCCCATACACATGTTGGCCCGTGTTTGTTATCCCCCTGAATCTCCCCCTGGCATCTCCTTTCAACGGCATAATGTCTTCTTGTCGTTGATAATTCCTGGACACCCGGGGAGTAATATGGGTGTGTACATGGAGCCTATGATTGATGAATTGATCGATGCTTGGGAGAAGGGGGTATCGACATACGACCGAGCTACAAAATCATCCTTCAAGATGCATGTTTGGTACCACTACTCCCTGCATGACTTCCTGGCGTATGGGATATTCGCCACCTGGTGTGTCCACGGGAAATTCCCGTGCCCAATATGCAAGGAAGCTGTGAGGTTCATTTGGTTGAAGAAGGGTGGCAAGTATTCGTCATTCGACAAGCATCGTCAATTCCTCCCTTCTAACCATCCATTCAGACAAGACATCAAGAACTTTACGAAAGGTGTTGCAGTGATAGACCCTAAACCGCGCATGAAGAGTGGTGCTGAGGTGCGTGCTCAGATAGATGCTCTTGTGCCCAATGAAGGAGGTGGTTTTGTGGGATATGGTGAGGAACATATGTGGACTCATAAGTCTGGCTTGATGAGGCTCCCCTATTTCGATGACCTTCTTCTGCCACATAACATTGATGTAATGCACACCGAAAAGAATATCGCCGAGGCACTTTGGGGAACTCTCATGAACACTGACAAGTCTAAGGACAATTTTGATGGAGATGTGGTGCAAAATGCCAAGGACATAGAAATGCTTGATCGATTAAGGCTAGGCAATGACAACGAAGACAACATAGAACCTTCAGATAGTGTTGCCCATTTGGACAATTTTGACAGTGATGACGACACCTATGATCCTAATCATGAAGATTATTCCTAATACATGTAATACTACGTTTGTTTTAGTTTGTGTTTTCTTTATTTATTTTGAATCTATTTCTAATATATATACTAATAAGTCTTGTTCATTCTTTGTGATTGCAGGTGATGGCGAGCAGCCGTCCACGACGTGAGACGGCCTCCCTTTACGGGAGACCACGCCCTCTCGTTTCAGACCAGGGGTCGGGGTTAGGGGTAGCGTCCACAGGAGGTCAGAGGAGGAGGACCAGGGTCAGCAGGAGGCAGCGGACTCCTTCCCCGCCACCTTCAGACGAGGTGATGGAGGAGGAGCACGTGACGGCCACGCCCAAGGACGAGGTCGAGGACGAGGACGTCCGACAGACCCAGGACGAGGTAGCCGAGGACGAGGCCGCCGAGGGCGAGGCCACCGAGGGCGACAGTTCCGCTACCCCGACTGTCTACCAGTGAGGTCCCGTGAGCCTCCCTCAGCCTCCGCTTCCTCACAACCGGGCACTGATTCGCCCTATGGCGAAGAGGTAAGTAACTATAGATGTTATCACAACTACTTGATATGGTAATGTTGGAAATCAAAAGAGGAACTGATAAATTTTCTTAATCACTTGTGCAGGGCCTGGTTGGTTTTGTCGGGTACTTCTGCACGCTCCCCCGCGAGCATCCTTGGTGTTTTGTGCAGGAAATGGTACCCCGGCCTTGTGAACGTGTCCGAGGACGTGCGGGAGCCGGCCTACACGTGGGACAGGTACCAGTTGGCCCCTGACGACATGTACCGCAACTAGCAGGAGCGGGTACTGGCGGAGTTTTGGGTAAGTCTCTCTCGCACAACATTTTCATTGGGCAAGTCTTTTATTGAAATAATGAATGGATACATCGGTTTTGTATGTAGATGTATTTCAAGCCAGAAGAAGGACTTGAGGCCCGGGTGGATCAGGCGGCTGTCGTCGCCTGTAGGAAGTACGTCACCGACATGCACCACGAGGCGCGCGTGTAGGCCCATAGAGACTACTACGCCGTGGTGTTGAAGCAGTCCATCAGCAAGCCTGATGCAAGACAGGTGGAGCTGTCCCGGGCCCAGTACCTTGAGGTAGACGAAAAACATTAATAATGATTCGTTTTGAGATTAAGTCGGTTTAATTTTATCTTTTTCTTTGTCAAATAATCGATGACTTGTAGGTGGTTCCCTGGTGGTGCCGATCCCACTCCTTGTGCTGGGAGATGATCGTGGACAGGTGGTTGTCCAATGACTTTGCTGAGAACCACGCGAGGCAGCGGGACCAGCGTCTGTTGAGGCGAGGTGCTACTCACCATCAAGGCAGCCGCAGCCTCCCGGCCTACAAACAAGCATATGTAAGTGATTTCTTTTATCTTATTTGACGCTGAGTTCTGCCTTATTTCTCACCATCTTGCCGTCTTACTCACAGGAGGCTACACACCCGGGCGTGGAGGTCTCGGAGTTCTCTGCGTGGGCTATGTCCCACATGGGCAAGGCGTCTTCCTCTGTCTCCTTCAACCCGTCTGCCCCGCGCGAGGTGTACTCCGACCTGACCGTGCACACTAAGGTCCAAGAGTACACCTCAAAGGTGAGGGAGGTCCATGGGGAAGATTACGATGTGCGCACTGAGCCCATTGATGCAGAGACCATCATGAGGCTAGGAGGAGGCAAGAAGCATGGGCGGCTGTGGATTGCAGACGGCGCCATCGACTCCACCACTGTTCCCTCTCTCGACGTGCTCCGAGCACGGAGCACGAGTTCCAGCCAGCCCATACGCCCATGGCCTAGTCCGTCACTGCAGCGGGTCGACGCTCTCGAGGTACGTCCTGTTTTACTCGTCGTACGTTCATCTTTGCACACCTAAGTTACAATTGCATTACTGAAACATTGAAGTTTGTATTGCAGGCCGAGCTGCAGGCCCAGAAGCTCGTGGTCGAGGCTCAGAGCGCGCAACTGCAGGCCCAGAGGGAAGTGTTCGCGGCCCAGGAGAGGAGGATGCAAGAAATGGAGGCCTTCATGCGGAGTGTCCAGCAAGGGAGTGTACCTTTGCCGTTGGCAGCACCTCCACCGCCTACTCCTACAGCCACTCCTGTAAGTATGAAAATTCACTCTTACTAGATGCTTTCTTGACATACAACCATGGTTGACATACAAACTTACTAGATGCTTGACATAGAAACTTACTAGATGCTTGACATAGAAACTTACTACATGCTTGCACTAGCTATGACATACACCAATGCTTCACATAGAAACTTACTAGATGAATCTCACACATGCAACCTCTTATCCTTTGTGCAGCTTCTGTCGGCGGGTTCGAATAACCCCGCTAATGCGTCACCGAATGAACCATCATGTCATAGGCCGCTTTTTTGAGGAGTTGTGCTTCGTCATGTGCTTGGACTTGAGCTTCACTTGTGGTTGTGACTTGTGCTTTGACTTGATGGACTGTGTTTGTGAATTTATGACTTGTGGTTGTGATATTTGACTTGTGGTTGCGATATGTTGTTATTTGAGTTGTGGTTGTGATATAATGTGTGAAAATGGTTTCGTTGTGATATATATGTGATTATTGTGATGTTTGTGATATATATGTGACATGTGATATATATTTGAACTATTTGTGTCAGTGGAATGCAAAAAAACAAAAAAAAAATTACAGTTTCGGTTGATTTGCCGAGTGCAATGGTCATGACACTCGACAAAGCTGGGAAACTTTGCCGAGTGCCAGGACATTGCACTCGGCAAAGATTTTTTTTTTAAAAAAAAGCAAAAAATCTTTGCCGAGTGCCAAGCTGGGGAGGCACTCGGCAAAGAGTTTTTTTAAAAAAATAAAAAATGTCTTTGCCGAGTGCCTTGCCGCCGTGGCACTCGGCAAAGAGTTTTTGAAAAAAAATAAAAAATGTCTTTGCCGAGTGCCCAAACTGTCGGCACTCGGCAAAGACACCGTCAACGGAGCAGCGCCGTTGACGGCTGCTTTTCTTTGCCGAGCGCTGCCGTTGGCCCTCGGAAAATGCTTTGCCGAGTGCCCGACAACTGGCCCTCGGCAAAGAGCCTCTTTGCCGTTAAATTTTTTTCCGAGGGCTCTTTGCCGAGGGCGGCGCTCGGCAAAGCCTTTGCCGAGGGCTTTTAGGCCTTTGCCGAGTGCCCTGGGCCCTCGGCAAAGATGCTCTGTCCGGTAGTGTGTGTTTACCTATGTACACGATGTTAAAGAAGGTCGGGTCCTCATCGGTGCCCTGCACTTGCTTCACCGCCTTACATCCCTGAGAGTTCCGGTGCGTGCTGCGGTAGTAGGCCCTGCAAGGCAGGCCCATCAAGTTTCGTCCGGAGCTCCCGAATCTTGTTTGTTAGGAGAAAAGAAGAAGAAGAGACTTTGCTTGTGCATCCAGAACATTTGGGCTATGAATCACTGATTCACTGTTCCCCCATCGGACGAACACTTGCAAACAGCACAAACAAATAACGGCTTCAACTTTTTCACCAAGATAAGAGTGCAGCCCCTTCATCCAAAGCAGATAAGAAAGCACGAGGAAATGATTTCGATTCCACTAGCTAAGACCACGTGCAGATGAGATTGGGCCGTGGAGTCTGGAAAAGAAAAGAAAAGAAAAGAAAATCTTTTGATAGATAGGAATTGTGTAAGTCAAGTGGCAACCTTCTGTGCTTGGCTCCAAGGATCTCCTTCTGGCCGTACTTTGTCCAGTTGTGGCCGTCGCCGGCCAGGAGGTCCGCCTTGCTCACCCTCAGCTGATGCCTCTTCTTGTTCCTGCAAATAAATTAATAGTATAAACCACTTAAGAAACTCAGCTAACAGAGACCAATTAATTAAGATGGTTTATGTTCCTTAATCGGGAAGCTCGATCGATGCCCTTCCTCGATGGGGGCCTGCTTGGTTTTGATGGTGGCAACTGGCAAGAACCAAGCATTACCTTTTCATGGTGGCCATGAAGATGGGGTCGTCGGAGGCGTCGCTGAGCATGCTGATGGAACGGTCGGCGATGGAGGAGATCTGCGAGGCGAGGTGCTTGCAGAGGTCGGGCGCGGAGCCGTCGAGATGCACCTCTTGCTGCCTCACCAGCTCCTTGATGTGGCACAGCTCGGTCACCACCTGCGGGATGCATCCATTGCCGTCGACGAGATCGACCCTGGCTGCCATCGCTCGAACCTCTTTTTGCTAGCTGTCGCGCAGGCTAGATTAGGTTCGGATGGCGAAGACTGTGTCGCTGCTGCAGGGAGAAGAGGGAAGTGGTGGGGAGGTGGGCTGTGAGGCGAAAGCCAGAGCGAGCTGCCCCGTTTATTTATAACGGTGACGACGGAAGGGAAACAAGGGGAGCGAGCTCCTAGCTCTATATTTTGACGTTTATTTTCGTCTTGAGGTCATGAAGTTTTCATTCTGTACATGCCAGATCATGAATTAGTAACTGCAGCCAATCTCGGAAAAGTCCTGATTGTTTTCATTATTGGAATGGGATATTTAAGGAATCCCCATGAATAGAATCAAATCTTATTCCATGTTATTTCCTTAAGATTCCTCTTTCTTATTCTTAAGCAAATCCCCGAGAGGGCTTAGTTGATCATGATTTCTGTTTTCTCTTTTTTTTCCTTTTTATTTGTTTCGAAAAAGATATCATCCGATTCTCCTTCTATTGATTCTTTTCCGATCGAGATGTATGGATCCATGTGTCTACATACCTAGATTATGTTCATGGATTAACGAAAATGTGCAAGAGCTCTATTTGCCTCTGCCATTCTATGAGTCGCTTACTTTTTGCGTATGGCACCCCCACTCACTTTGGCAGAATCTACGAATTCGGAACTTAATTTGAAAGCCATATTTCGACCCGGAAGCTTTTGGGATGCTTCTAATAACCAACGAATGGCAAGTGCTCTTCCTTGTTTAGATCCGATTTCAATCGGAACTTTCCGTGTCGATCCTTTTTTATTACATCTTGTTTTTACTCCTTGTTGGCTCGTGGATTACTCCTTTTCGTGTAGTTGCTTTTGAGGTTGATTTTAGGACAGCGGCTAAATATTTCAAAAGAAATTTGGGGCTCTCATTCACCCCCTCTAGTCGCCGTTTCGGTCCTTCAATTAGTCCAAAGAAAAAGGAAAGGGATAATGAGAGTATGTTTGGTGCAAACGAGTAGTGGTCTCCAATCTCTTAATTCAACATTTGTTTTACCTCTAGGTACCAGGTGATGTTCACTACAACTTTGTCGCCATCGACTCAAAATTCCATTGAAGCTGAGAGTAACATCATCCAAATGCTTAAAGTACTCTTCACTGTTGGAAGTTGCAATGTGCAGGTCCTTCACCTCTATGTGAAGCACTTCGCCACATGGCACCATGACCGCATTCCTCGACAGCTGAAGAAGGAACCATGAGTCATTGGTAGGAGAGACATACTTATTCATCCCCTTTGTATACCGCTTGAAGAGGACGCTCCGGTCTTCAATGTTACCGATGCGCGCAGTGATTTCACCGTGAACGACGCTAGGGCTCTCTCCATCTTTGAGCAGTAGATTGACCTGCACAGTGGCCTCCAGTGCATTTGACATCACCGCGTAGGTCACCTGGACGTTGCGGCCAGGTTCTTCGCTGATTCCTGCGTCACAGGTGGTTTGTCAACTTAGATGGCGTGCTTGGGGTCATAGCAATCCCATTCCCATTGGATGGGACGCCCGACATCGCCACTGCTGCTACCGGCACCGAGTGTGGTGGGGGTGTCAATTTTGATGGCGAAGCACCCGTACTCCGCTGAGATGCCTGTATAGGGTCCAGTTAGCCCTAAATCCACCATTTTTCCCTACATGTATGCATTGTTTCGTTAATATTATTGCTTGTGGATAGCGTCAAATAATCATATATATCGATCAAGACTAGATATTAGACACATTATTATATGTATATTATACCTGTCTTTCTTGTCCTTGGTCGTCCTGTTCCCCTTGCTCCTTCTTGTACACGATCTGGCCTCGTTTTCCGTCGAGGACGATGATTTTGTTGACAATGACCCCATGGTCGGTACGTACTGACCGTAGCTCCACCCGACGTCGACCATACACCTGGGCGTCGCCATCCTCCTTGCGTTGTTGGCCATGGCCCTTCGAGCCGCCAGCTTCCCTGGGTTGTTTGCAAGGGTCACCACCACTACAAGCACCACCTGTCTCCTCGGGTGGGCTAGCAGAGCTGGCACCGATGATGCCAGGCTCCCCGGCCTGGCCGCTGCCACTGCTCCCTGACTCCACGGGTTGGCTAGCGCTAGCAGAGCCGCCGCCACTATCAGCACCACCTGCCTCCTCGAGTTGGCTAGCAGAGCCGGCACCGATGATGCCAGGACAACTGGCCTCCACGGCCTGGCCACTGCCACCGCTCCCTGACTCCATGGGTTCGCTAGCACTAGGAGAGCCGCCACCACTGCCGGCATGATCTACGGCATCCCCGTCGTGGCCACTAGAGCTGCCACTGCTGTTGGCATCTGGCCACCGGGTGTTGAGCACGAGGCAAATTGCTTGTAGACGCTTATTAATGGTGACTTCTTGATTGTCGTAGTTGGCATTCTTCCACGTTAGCAGGTGTTCTGATATCCACCTGTAGCTCCACAGGTAAGGACGCATCAGATCTTGAGTGAATCCCGTGCCGGTCCTCCACCCACGTGCAAAGAAGTCGTGGATAGGATTCATCCTTGCCGACTCGCAGACCACGACCATCAGGCCCGCCCGTGCCTCCCTGGCAGTCAATCTGGTACCATTCACCAGACGATCTGGGTCGCTCGACCACGACAGCCGTTCCACGGCTTGAACCATGAAGGTCTTGTTCAGCGGTTCAGCCTCAAGGATACCAGTCTATCCCTGCGGCTGCGTTGGTCTTGGTCTTGGACGTCGAGTATGGTTCTGTATTTGAGGCCCCAGTGTAGGCGTTGGGGATTGTATTCATCAACTGGAAGCATATGGTCGCTGCCCTCGTCGAGAATCTCATAACAAACTCCATCCTTGTTCTTGAAGCCATGGACGTACAGGTTGTCATCCCGCATGATTAGGGTTGCACTATTCAACTTTCTTTTTCTTGCCGCCCTTCACTTGTAGCTTGACGTGAATCCACCTCGCCGGTCCATTACCCACCCGCCTGACCATGGGAAGCAATGGGTGTTCTCGGATTCTCGAGAGATTTAGGAAGTCGTGGCCATCCAAGATATCCTCACGGCCTGGGTGGTCGGCTACCAGGCGACGGAGAGCCATTATGAATTCAGTGAAGGACACTTCATCATCATGACGACTCCTTTCTATGGTGTAAGCTACAGTGGCCCCGTTCGCGTGCCCTTAAACCTGGCTTGATCCGCTTATTTTTTTCATCCGGAACAGTGTTTTTCTCTCACAAATTCCTCGAGCACTCCTCCAAACCATAATCCAGATTCCTCCAGAATTCAGACAGGTGAGCCAGACACCATTTCGATATGCATGCATGTCGTACAGGAATTTAGTTAAAACAAGAAAGGAAGTGATGATAAATAACGTGTTTAATATATATTTGACGCTGCTACTACTTACTAGTTAATAATTAATTAATGGTCGCCAATAAATCAATTCGAAATGTTTACCTCCACTGGGCTCTTAGGTTGTTCAGGAAAAGTAGTAATAAATTCCCCGCACATATAAATATACGCACATATGGGAAAAGATTGCACAAAATCTTGTTATACAAATGCCCCCCACCAAGTTAAGTTTGAATGGCGGAGCGAGTTCAAGTTTGACTTGGTGAAAAAGAAACAATTAGACTAAGATATATGAAACTAGCTGCAGCCTTGGATTTTGATGACTTTTCAATTCATAAACTTTACATGAATATAGGGCACCGTCTGTGCTCCCTTCTATTTGTTTGTAAAAACATCATGCTTGAACTGACCATGCACGTATATTTCTGACTGCACGCACATGTGTCACACATGTTTATCAATTAGCTAGCTTATTTAGCTCATGGTACTGGTGCATATATGTGATGCCCCTTCTTTAGCTCAATATCCTAAGGTTTATGACAGGCACTGCTACTGAACGAGAGAGAACTTGTTGCACTCAGATCACTCCAAGAAGCTAAAGACGTCAGATGTACTGTCGGGGTCGTCGAGGAAACCGTAGTCGTCGGCTTCGTCGAACCTGAAGAACGCGTCGTCGCCGGCGACCTCGAAAGGCGGGAAAGAGGCGACGTGGTTGGAGTCCGAGGTCGCCGAGGACACGCCCCAGTTCTTGGACCTGGACGGTGCGGAGAAGGGGCTGCTGTCCAGCACGAGGCACCCGCTCGCCATCGCCGGCGTGGAGGAGAAGCAGAAGGGCGTGGGCGCGTCCCAGCCCTGCAGCTGCTGCTCTGGCTCCACCGTCAGGCTGGAGCTCAGGCTCTGCAGGAGGCTGCTGGCGCCCGGGTTGGCGTTGTACTTGTACTCCGGCGCCTGCGCGTCCGTGGCAGCCTGACCCGGCGCCACCGCCGCCCTCTGGCCCTGAACGCAGGTGTGTTCACCTATGTAGACGATGTTAAAGAAGGTCGGGTCCTCATCGGTGCCCTGCACTTGCTTCACCGCCTTACATCCCTGAGAGTTCCAGTGCGTGCAGCGGTAGTAGGCCCTGCAATATTTGTTTAATTTGCGCGGATCAGATCAGGTCAGGCAGGCCCATCGAGTTTCGTCCGGAGCTCCCGAATCTTGTTTGTTAGGGGAAAAGAAGAAGAAGAGACTTTGCTTGTGCATCCAGAACATTTGGGCTATGAATCACTGATTCACTGTTCCCCCATCGGACGAACACTTGCAAACAGCACAAACAAACAGCGGCTGCAACTTTTTCACCAAGATAAGAGTGCAGCCCCTTCATCCAAAGCAGATAAGAAAGCACAAGGAAATGATTTCGATTCCACTTGCTAAGACCACGTGCAGATGAGATTGGGCCGTGGAGTCTGGAAAAGAAAAGAAAACCTTTTGATAGATAGGAATTGTGTAAGTCAAGTGGCAACCTTCTGTGCTTGGCTCCAAGGATCTCCTTCTGGCCGTACTTTCTCCAGTTGTGGCCGTCGCCGGCCAGGAGGTCCGCCTTCCTCACCCTCAGCTCATGCCTCTTCTTGTTCCTGCAAATAAATTAATAGTATAAACCACTTGAGAAACTCAGCTAACAGAGA